GTAGCACAGGACTAATACAATGGCAGCCCACTAGTGACATCAAAATGTCTAAGTTTCTAGACACATTAAAGACTTTTCCTTCACTTTTCACACCTTGTTCAGGGCAGTAATGCAGACAGCATCATCCAAATGATTTTGGAGACAATACCATCTGCCTTCTGAAAGCGTGCTCTTCTATTACGCTGAAACTGCTCCGAGTGCAAGAAGGTGTTTGGCATGTTCCCATCTTGACAGATTTTGGTCTCATGTAAGCCATGGGAAGACAGTGTAGAAACCTGCACTCCACGGCTGACCACTGTAACTGATAGGGAACAAGAGGCACATTTGCAAAGCATAGAAATGCCCAAACTCTTTGGATTCCTGCAATCATGGCCTTTGATGATCATTTCATGTTTGTGTCCTTGAATATGTCCCTCAGTCCCAGCAAGGCCTGAAACACAGGGAAGCCCACCCTGCTGTGGGATCAGCCGCAGCCAGAGGGCAAAAGATGCTTCCCATGCATTTGAGAAACCTCATTCTCAATCTCCATTTTAATGCAGCTGCTATGTGAGGCGCACTCCTTATGTGTGACCCAGGGAGAAACTGTCCCATAGCAGTAAATTAAAAAATCTAACCCCAATAGCCATAGGATTGCACCAGAAAGGGATAATTAGAGACTAATAGTGGTTTGACAGGGCCAGTCCTGTGACTGCATCAGAGGTGAGCTCTCCTAAGTGTCTGCTCCATGTGGAGCATGGCTGGTGCTCTCAATGCTGTGGGTCAGGGCAGCAATCACACCCCACTGATGCAGTCAGATGTGTTATGAGCACCTTCAGATTAAGTGTTGGCCATTTGCTCATTTGCCCCCGACCCCAAATTTTAATCTTGATCCTCAGAGAGTTTTTTTGTTCCTAGATGGGAGGGGGGGGGCGGGTGCAAGTGAGCAGTGTCCACATAGTAATCATGATTTCTTCTAGCCACTGCCAAATCTGAGCAGAGCAAGGACTTGTAGCCATCAAAAAAATGCAGACCCAAATGAGCTTGAAGAGCCCCTGGCATTCAAGTCACTAGGGAGAAGTCAATGGGCCACAGGCAAATTTCTAGTTGGTTCCTCAAGGCTAACAAAATTCTAGAAAGCACCATGCAAAAGATACAAGAGGCACAATGTGGGTAGGTTTGGTAAAAATTCATGCTGGCCCTTATATATGAGGTATGGGCAGCTCCCCTGGCACTGACTCTTTGAGCATATCGCAGAGCACAAGTTCACATAGATTTATCCAGAGTTCACATTTAGCAGAGATGGAGGGGTGATTAATTGTTCCAGGACTAGTCTCATGTAAGACCTTGTTTAAGGTAAGGTGAATGTAAACAGGGTAAATTTACCGTCCAACAGTTGCTCTGTGGTAGTTGCATTCCGCATGCATGCCCTGGGTAAATGGGACGTAAACTGAGCGAGCTTCTCTTAGTAACAGGTGTAGAAACTATCTCACCTTTAGCGCAAAGTACAAAGTGGGCATGGGTGTAATCTCTGCAGAGTGACTAATATTCAGTAAATTTACTCGCTTACTGCACAGTGACTTGGGTGTGGAGCCATATCCCTAAGAACAGATCTTGGGTAACAGTACATTGCAAAGTCTGTTTTTCCCGCATTGCCTGTCCACAGACTACAGAAGACAAATCACCATTAGCTCCCGTTAGAAGAGTGATAAAATAGTAGTCAATCAATGAGAAAAGGCTTCCCTGTCCACCATAAGGTACTGACTCACTGCCATCTTGTGGCAACAGCACGATAGCTGACAAAAGGCTGTTCAATATACAAATTGACAAAATACTGTTCAATATACTGTTCAAAGAGAAGGCATTGCACATTTATATATTCAATGATGTGGCAGCATAAAATTGACCAGTTTGACTTTCTGGAGCTTTTATCTAATAACTTGCCTCCCCAACTTGTACAACAGTTCAAGCTTCATTTCCTTATGAAGAGTAAAGAGAAGAGGAAAAATGGAAACGCCTGCAAACTAGCAGGAAGTATGCTGCTCCTTCCACATTTTTCTCAGGATGCAAAAGCCACTCCTGACTCCCTTCCTTGCTTTCTTCCCCAACACACTGAGTCTTTCACAACTTTTGGGAACTCTCAGCAATTCTGAACAAAGAAATGAAAAGTCTGGTGATTTTTTACTTTGGGTATTTTTATTGCAAGTATTCATCTTAGTAGGACTTTAGATTTAATGCAAGCTTCTTATTCTACCATGGTAAAATGGCTTGAGGCAATTCACTGTGATTTAGAGCAGTTTGGCTTATGGTATCTATCTAGGTGTTCACAGTTAGTCTTTAATAAACACTAAGTAATATAGCCTAAATGAGTTCTCAGTGAAAGAGAATTACGCTAAATCATGTAACCTTGCATTTTCTGCAGTCCAATAAGTTACTGCATTACCGTAACTCAGCTGATTCACAGGAACTCACTGAAACTCATTCTCATATCTCAGCTCTTCACTTGACCTGTAAACTTTATCACCCAGTTCTCAGTAACCCTTTTAAGACTGAACATAATGAACAGACGTACGTAAGTCACTAAAAGAAGCAGCCCAACAAAACTGAAGGTACACAGATAGGTTTGCCATTTTTGTCCAGAAGGGAATGTTTCTTTCCCCATACATTTTCTCAATTACATTCCCAAGATATGTCTTCCTGGAGAAGCAAGTGTGGCAGGAGAGGAAAGGAAAAGGCAGCTTGTACATTTAGCTCATAAATGTGCCAGCTGCCCATATATGTGAAGAAACCTACTCACCGGGGCAAGATTATGCATTGCAATGTCCTGTAGGAGCATCAGCATTTTCAAGAGCTGCAGGTTGGTGGTGGCATGGTTTGAGCAGCAGCCCACAGGGCACTGGGGAGAGACAGCCACAGGGAAGGTCCACGGGCAGCAGCTGTGGCAGCAGCAGCAGTGACAGCAGTGACTGCCTTGCGCTCCCCTGGTGCCACAGGCTTCACCCCAGTAGCGTGACCTGTATTTGCCACAAAGCACGGTGTCAAGAGAGGCTGATTTTGTCAGGTGAGCATGGGGTGGATGAAGCAGTGGTAGCCACCTTGATTTCCCAGCACAGATGTCAGTTTGGCTGAAGGCTTCAGTAGTCTGCTTCACACCGTCTTTCAAAGCCCCTGAGTCTGCCTGTGTGAGAGGATCACCCTCACAGAAGTCCACAGGATCTTCCCTAGCAAGGGTCTCGCTGCAAGGAGCATTTTGCCCTGTGCACTTCACCCTTGAAGTGGACTCCAGCCTGGAAGGCATCTGAACAGTAACAGATTTCAGAGGAGTAGAAGCCATTTCATCATTTTGGACAGTGTCTCCCCATTCTGATTTGTTAGTACCTAACATCTCCCCTACGCTACCAGTCTCTTGATCTTCAGATGAACTTAATCCAGACCCTTCTGCTAGGCAGGAGGGATGCTTCTGAGATTCTTGCGTAGAACAGCTTAAAGCGGCACTGCTCCCACTTTGTGCTGCTGAGCCCTGCCATGGAGTTTCTGGGAGCTCCATTTTGGGGGACCATCTTGTATTTTTTAAATCGCCATCTGTTTTGCAGAACTTCTGCCCGTTTGTCACCTCATTCACTGCAAGCAGGGTACCATCTTTGCTGACCACTTCTGTGTCCCACCACATTCCTTTAACACATGCTGCATGACCTTCATGGGCACTTTCATGACATGCAGCTCCAATGTCCTTTTCAGTCAGGCAGCTCTCACCTTCTTCTTCGCTTCTGATTTTGCTCTCACTGATAACGGCAGGGTTTATATCAATTGGTTCAGTGAAGGTTACATTCACCTTTTTGTGTCCTGTTCTCAAATACAAATGATCAAATTTTGAGGAGCTAGGATCTCCTTCACCCTGAGTATCACTCTGGAAACAAGGACTATGCTCTTTTATGCACTCCTCTTTTCCCAGTTGCTTTCTTCTAGTTTTATGCTCTTTCCTGTCTATGTCACATAAAATTTCTTCTACAGAAGTCTGTGGTTCAGGGCTACAGGCCTCATACTGTCCATTTTCTGCAGTCTGCAGCAGATGAATCTCTTCTTCCTGGTCTCTGCCTGCTTGTGTTGATCCAGGTATTGTCAAAACTCCCTTGCAGGCTGTGATGAAGACCTTAGCAACATCATCTGGCTTTTGTTGAAAATCTTGGTTTAACGTCAGAAACTCTGTCTTATGTGACAGAGCTGTTTCTTGATTGTGGCTATCAGAAATAAAATTAATCTTTCCTGGCAAAGATGTATTCTGAAGGAAAATAAAAAGAGGGAGGAAAAAAAAAAAAAGGAGGAGGAATTGAAATATTATACTTGTTCTAGCACACTGGTTTGCCCACCACTATTTTCCCCTGGGCACCCCCAGGACCAGAGGCATCTCTAAATACATCTTTAAACATCTACAACTACCAAGTGAAGCAAAGAATTAAAGATTCCTGTAACATTTCCTCACTAATGCCTTGCACAAAACTGGCATTAGTGTGTTGGAAGAGTTGCACAAAGTTCTGAGAAAGCTTCTCGCCTTCTGAGGTTTTTTAGGAGGATGAATTTGCTTTCATGAAACTTTCACGACTGCATGATTATTTTGTTTTTTATTGTTACTTGTGCCAGGGTCACAGAGTTTTCATAGACCTACCAACAACTATTGTTCATTTCTTACTTGCAAAACTACAGGTTCTGGCAGCTCCTCCATGAACCCACTGCTGTCTGACTGGCAGCTGCTTGTTCTTGTCACCATCACCTCTACTGTGGAAAACAAGAGGATAAGATAAATTAGGAAGAAAGGCAGAAAGCAGTATCAGGCCAAAATGAATACAGAAGTAAACAGGGACACTTTAAATGTATGTTTCTATAAATATTCTTGATCCTGGCCAGAAATGTGCAATATTGCTACAACCAGAAAAAATAACAAATATGTGCTCAGGATAGCTACTGCTGATGTTACTAACTGTTGACTTACTCACCAGTGTAATCATCACCTGCAGATTTCAGATTTTGATATAGTCACCCAACATACACAATGTAAATAACCTATAAAGCAGCAAACCACTTGTTTTTCTTTGCCAAAAATATTGACTTTTGATTGTTAGAACTGGCTCAGACCAAGCGTTAGTCATACCTACACGGTTTTGATGGCTTCCACCAGGTGACTCCTGCAGGGAAAGGGAGCTGCCCTAGCCTCTCCCTAGACCAGCTGGTCTCTGCTTTGAGGCACCGTGTATCACCTTTTTTGGTTTTTGTTCTGAGGGCAGGAAATCATAGTTACAAACAGAGATGAAGTAGGGTTGTATGGCAAGACATATAGGCAAGAGGAAGATATTCTAGATTTACTCCAGACAAGGTTTCTAATCTAGCAGCCACATAATCTGGCTAAATCAATTTTTACCTCAACTTTAGCAATTAAATTATACACTATTAGCTATTTGATTTAATGAATAAAATCCAACCCTCTTTAAAACTACAAATGATTGAGAGTAAACCCTTGGTTGTCCTGTACATCCCGATACTTCTCAGCCTTTGGATAACTTGCCCTTTCAGATAACCTTCATCCTCAGATAATGCCCTCATTCTCAGATAGTTGGCACCAAAACAGCGGTGGAGCTGGGGGAGCAGGCTGAGGGAGTCTGCTGGGGGAAGGAAGGGATGGAGACTGAGACAATCTGGATACACTTCCTCTCTTGTTCCTTACATACATAACGGCTTCTGAATCCTGAGACCTTTTATCTTCTGGTTATAACCATGAAAATGTGACAATTCACCTAGTAGTTTTGAGATCTGAGTTATTAATTCTCATTTGTGTGAATTGGAAAATGCAAACCAAAAAGAGTCTACAAATTATGTTTTCACACATTAACAGACTATGGGCTTCATTAATTGTATCTTGGGCATCAATTAATGAAAATCACACAATCTATTCGTAGGCAGCAGCTGTAAAATCAAAACCAGGTATCATTTTATGGCTTTTAAATGAATTACTTGCATTGTCACTCCTGGTATCATCAGCAGCACATCAGTCAGACACTTTCCTATTTTGGATGAGAAAGATGCGGTTCCCATCTCAGACATTACAAAATCTGCAGTGATGTTGCTGAAAATTGTCTGGTTTGTGGGTGGTCTCAAAACTCATCCTTGCAGTTTCCCACAAACGACATCATGGTTCAGCTTCTCCCCAAGGGAGACTGCTCTACAGATTCTCTAAACTTTTTTTAAAGCTGCTTCAATTACCCTTTGCATCTTTGCCAGCTGTTGCTTCCAGTGTGTCAGTCTGGCCTGTAGTTTTCCATACATAAAAATGAAGAAAGAAAGGCTTAGGAAAGTTTTGAAAAGTGGAAATGTTTCAGCTGCTGTAGTTCCAACCAGTTTGAGACTCAAATTATTTGAGCCTCAAATACTCAATTGTATCCTCCAATCATAACAACAGACCTTCAAGCTCTAAAGTTTGCACAGTTAGAAGACTACATTATCAGCAGATTACCTAGTGTTTTAAGGTACCTGTTTTTCTCCTGAGACATGCAGGATACCAAAGTAGCTGGCATGCTACCAGAAATTACATGTAGGGGAAAAAAACCCATAACTTTTAATGGACGAGTAAGCACTGTGAGAATCCATCTTCTCATCTGGCCAAAACCAGGTGGCTGTAGCCAGGTTTGACCCATTTGTTATGATAAATGCAATACATCTGTTCAAACAACACAGTCAATTGTGTTTGTGTATTGCAACCATGCAACCTTCCCACCCATGTTTATATTTGTGCACTAGCTAAAGAACTACCCAAAACATGTGATGGTGGACTCCAGGCTGATCTTTAGACACAAGGTGAGACATTAAAGACTGGATGAAATGTCTGCAGATCAAGTTAGTATCACTACAGTTAGCCTACAGAAAGACCTCCATGTATCTCCCGGGACTTACCCTGGAAGGAGGTGTGATGTGTGCTTGGCTATCATAGCTCTCATGGATTAAACATGCAAGGCATGTACATAAATCAAGGCTCAAACCACTCTGAAAGGCTGTCTCTGTATGTATTTAAAAATGGTAATACAATAGGACCTAATGACCATTCTAAGCATAAATCCAAATTCTGCAATATTTATGTTATCAAAATAGAAACTTATAAAATAGAAGAAAAGTATAATAGAAGGAGAACCATGTTCAGCGCAGTTCACCTGTTCTTGTTGCTGTGATTTCCTGTCCTCAGACCAAGTAATCACCTTCATCTGAGATAGGCAGCTGATTTGCACCTACCTACAGATTAGATGTGTAATGAACTAATACTCCTAGAGTAAAGGCTTAAATTCCCCATATAGTCAGTGCAAAGCGATGTCTCTGAGGGTCTGAGCTGCAGTTCTGTTCCAACTACATTCAGATGCCTAATTTAATCATTACATCCCACACTGGCTTGCAAGATCCTACCCAGTATGCCAGGCCCAGTAGAAGGTAGGCAGGTGAAGATAAAGGGGTTTTAAAATATGAGATATTTCTCTGACTTTGTAACACCTTATTCAAAGCCAGTCAAGATTCCCTTGATTTCAGTGGAAGTCTGAAATTAAAAAAAAAAAAAAAAACAGTAAAAATGAATATGGGCCTCCTATTCAAGGTGGGGTAAAAAGCTATAAAGAGATTGCCAAAGTGCCTCCACAAGGACTTCAAGCTGAACATCGTGTTCCCGGGAGAAACACGGAGCAGGGCTGCTTTGGGAAGGCAGGCCACACTGAAGGCTGGGGCTGTGCCAAAGCTAGATTAAACACGATGGCCTTTTCAATTTGAGGCAGCTCACTTTCAACCTATGTAAATATAGTTTGATTCAATGACGGTGTACCAGAGCCAAGTAATGTTTGCGTAATGGCGGGCAGCATTTGCATACCAGGGAAACTGTTTTGGGTGAGCGGTGGGCCAATCTATCACTTCATTTCCTCTTAGCGTCCCAAATAGCAATTGAGACTGCAAATTAGACCACGCCTGATGCTGTCCTGAGGAGGAATAGCGTTTCTCTCTTTGTGAAATTTTCAGCAACGTTAATAGCTTGCCAAAGGTAACAGTCCAGATTTTCTTGGCAGGCTCTCATACCCAGCGAGGATACCCATAGCCTGAGTTCCTACCAGGACATTCACTCTTTGCAGAGGTCCAAGGCAGGTCTTTGCTAGGTCTCCTAGGACAAATTCCTCTATCTACCAGGTTTCTGAAAATGTCCAGGCTGGATGCTGGTGGTGGTTTGTCTCAGAATGGACTAGCATCTAAAGACCTATCAGCAGTGGCCAAGGTCACTGTAGGGATGACACTTCACAGCAACAATTCCTTATGTTTAAACGAACTGAGTCTTCAAGCAACTGGAAGATTGTCTTTTGGAGGGATACAAGTTGGCCAAAATTTACATAGTTTATTTTGTCATTTTTAAAACGCTCTCGCCTTTCTTTTTCAAATGTGCTTTCTTTCTTTTCTGAAAGCAACCACATTTTTTAATTTAAAGAGGAAAGGTGAAAAAAATGGGTTAAATCACCTGAACATTAAGCAAAACATGTTTTCCTTTCGAGTCTACCCACACCACATTTTTCCCTGATCATCTGGTTCAGCCACTGAACCAAAATATCCATTATTCATATAGATCTACTCAATTCTCCTAGTGTGTGGAGACACCCAAACCTGTAGAGATTTGGCAAATACATGCAGAGCATCACACCAAGGAAAGGTAAAGTATGTTTGGAGAAGAAGTAGAGACGCAGACCAGTATTCAACTATGAACTAAAAATTACAACTCTGGGCCCTGTGCGGAGAATACATCTGGCTATGCTGGAAAGAGGAAACCTGAGAATCGCCCCTGAAGACCTTGGTGAGGAAAACCTTGGCTCTTCGCCTTTCTGTGCTAATTGAACTGGGAGAGTTTAGCTCCTGCATCCCATTTCTGTTCTGCCTGAATTTTAAATAAAAATAGGTTAGAGGAACTCACTAATCATGTTTCTGCTTCATTTTGTATCGTATAAGAAAGTACATGCCTTCCAAATCCCAAAGGTCCCACAGCTTTCCAGGCCTTCACTTGATCAATCCAATTTCATTAAGAGACTTTTTCTCTTCCCTTATTTGCATGCAGATACAGTGGCTTCCATTTTCAGCAACCATCAGTGCGGGAACTTTCTGAAACTATCGGGCTCCTAGGTTCACCATTAATGAAAGAATATTCCCTAATTAGTTAAATAAATAAGTACTGGAGTATAGTTCTGCGTTCCTCTGAAGGCTACAGCTGGTTTTCCGTGGACTTGGCTGCAAATAACACAATCTCTTTCTAGTTTCCAGCCTGGAGAATACTTGCAAACTGCAAAAAATGCCATGAGAGCAACTCCACTGCTTGTAAATAATAGCACATTTTTTGTACACCTTTTGAATCACATTAACATTGATGAATGTATGTCAATAGTTGTTTTTCTACATTGTTTGAGTACATGGGGAAGCATAGGCACAAAAACTTCAAATGCAAGAGCATTTCTGAAAATTTGACCTTTAAATTCACAAATTAAAAGCTGGACTGCTTATCCTGTCACAGACAAAGTAGAATGGCCAACTGCAACCTAGTGAGGCTATTCCAATTTTAGATATTTTTGTAGCTGTAGCTGTTTAAATGTTGCTGTACATTGATGTGGATAAGTATTTCTAAAACTATCCGCTACATACACAGGACTAAATAATGCACAGAAACCACAATTTAGTCAGATATTTTGTAAAAGGAAAATAAGCCTAAAGGACTTAAAATAAGA